AGCGCCATAATGCATAACACTGCTGCTTATGGCACTGGAAAACTTCGATCAGATGCGACTTTAAGCAAGGCCCATAAATAGCGAAGCGCACGATCCGTCCAAGTTTTATTAGCCGCAGTTCGCTAAAAAGCACTCGAGCAAAGTTCCGACTGCGAATAAATCACAATTCAATAGCGTTTTTCTCGCTTGTAAAAATGACTTATATGACGCTGTTTAAGTCGCGGTTGGTGCGCGAAAAATGACACCGCCAACTTTCCCAATTATAGTTTCAGAACAGTGGGATCGAGCGAAACTAACCGAAAAGGATCAGTCGCCTTACTAAAAGCCCGATTTCGTATGTTCAACTTTAAATTGAATCCGCTATTGCGGGGCCGATCGATCATTAAAAGTTGGCGCAGTCAACCGGCTTATTGCGAAGTAGATAAATGTCGCATACAGCAATAAAATCCATCAAACCAGGTTTCCGCATCACGTCCAATATTCCCTAATTAATTTCATCCAGGCATCAAGCTCGGGATCTTCCCTAACAGGTTTAGTGGGTGGCCGATCTGACCACCTGGGGCTTTTGGGTCTATGATTTCAGCCTGTCCATCACCTCAAATTCAAATTGGGCGGTTTGAATGATGATTTGTTTGCTCTAAAACGTCAAAAATTGATCCAAAAACAGTGCTTTTTCGCCATCCTTTAACGAAATAGTATTTTACGATACAAGGGGGTAAAGTCGAAGTTTCGCCACTGTTTGAAGTTGACGTGCACGTCACGCAGCGTGCGTGGCGAAAGTTCTTACTTTGCGCACGGTGCGAAGAAATGCGTAATAAAAGTGACGCTTTCGCCATCGAAACAGTGGCGAAAGTGCGTCCTTTCCACCAGGGGATCAAGAAAGGGAAATTTTCAGAAATTATGAAATTTTATTGAAATTAATTACAATTGGTAGTGTTCCTGGGCAAAGTCTTTGAGGTATTTTTTAACCTGCCGAGCGCTAAGAACAGGAATCAGTCCCTTGATCTCCGCCTAGAAAAAAAAAGTTCACATTTTTAAAGCAAAAGTGCAAGTTTTTGATTAATTCAAAAGTAAAAAGCTTTTTGACCCCGACGTGATTTGAACACGCAACCTTCTGATCTGGAGTCAGACGCGCTACCGTTGCGCCACGGAGTCATATATTAGTTTCCCTAATACATAGCTTATAAGAACAGCCTTTCTTAACCGGATTTACTCGATCGCGATTGGTGTGGATTCTTTCGCTTAAACCGTCGATTTCAACCCCATTTAGTCGCCCCCTAAACCCGATACATAACAGACGAATCGACCGCGGCTTAGAGCTAATCTCAAGCCGGAAATGCAACGCTGTATGTTTCGCCTTATCGGCGTTGGCACCGGAAGAGCCCGACCGCAAACCGAATGGCTTAACTTGCGACACTTAATCGAGATGGCGACAGCCGCTAAATATCGCCCGTCCGATTAATCTTTCCTTTAGCAAATCTCGCCTCAATCACCGGAGTTTGCGACTTCAACTACCGATGGTGGCGCTGCGAAGCGTCCAATGACAGTTGACACGTGTCAGATTGGAATTGATGACATTTATAACTTAAAACAATAGTTACACACCTGTCGATCTGTTTCTTTTCCTATAAAAGCTTGCAAGTTGTCATTGTCAACAGAACAGATGTCAAATTTCTACTTAACTTGTAGTTATAAACTTAGCGACCAGGGGGCGTCTGGCCTTTTGAACTCGCGAATCGTTCAACAACTTCGAACTCGACACGTCCGAAGTTCGTTTTAAGGCGATAATTTGTCAACTTGTCGAAGACTCAAGTTCCATAGTTTCGGGCAAAGAGTTCGCCAATAATTGACTCGCCAAAGTTCTGCACTTGGGCAAAAGTCTAGGAGTTTTCATAATTCCGAAAGTCCGTCGCCGGATGTGAAAAACGGGTTTATTATGGGGCCCCGACCGATTGTTCGTCGGAAGTTTTCATAATCCGTTGATGGTGTTTTTCTTTAAAGCCCTCGTTACTCTTCGGGGGGCAATTCCGCGTTAAAAGGCAATTTCCTCGCGCATTTTCAAACTCATTTAAGTTTCTGATTGGTTGCAATATTGCGGCAACAAAGCAAGAATTACCACTCGTTTTGCGTCCTGGACAGGAAATAAACGTGCGCCACTGATAATCGCACTTCAAAAGCGGGTTGTTTAAGGCTTTAGGGGCTTTCCGAACAAAATGCCGGCCAGTTTGATGCGGGGCCTACGCAAACTTGACCGCAAATCCCGCCGGATGAGTCCGAGCAAAAAGACAGTGAGGACAAAACTAATTTTAAAACCTGACAAGGGCCAGAGGGATTAATAGGCGCGAATAGCCCCCGATTACGTTCCCGTAAATCTCGGCTTAGTCGGGCATTCCCCTACACACTCGTCAATAGAGGGTGTTTTCAAGGTTCTCCTGTTTTCCTGCCATCATCCTGGAATTAGCATTCAAAGCCCCGTTTTGCCACAAAATAAGACGTTCGACGCGAACATATCGCACGCGCCCAGAGACTAATAAACAGCCGGATAAAAACCGTCTTTTTACCGATAAAAACAGTTTTCTTCTGGGGGAAAGCACGACTGAATTTTGCGGTCACTCGTAAAAAAGTTTGTCTTCAGAGCTTGAGTTCGTCACTTTCCAGAGCTTGCGACTCGTCTATTGGCGGCAGAATTGCAAACGAGCCCCTTGTGGGTCTTTCCTTCACATTTACGTTGAGAAGTTAAGCCTTTTCCGAGCATAAAACATCGTTAAACCCTATCATTGTCCCATCTTCAGATATATACCTTAAAATAGATGGAGAGATGGCAACGGCGCATTTATTAACAACGGGCGAACGAAGCGATCGAAAATTAATCTTTGTCTGATTTTAAATTAACCAGCAGATTCCGGACATTTAATTCTGATCATACATGGCATAATTGACCTGATAAAAATACCCTAAGTTATCAATTATTCCATACTTTCACAGGATTTTACTTGTAAGTTAACTGGGCTCCGACTTTTGAGTAATTCGAAATTGGCATAAAACTGAATTATTTTAAGCGGTGAAGGTATCAAGTTCGAACGCAGCATCACGCGGGCCATCGGGATTGTCGTTAGACTTCCATGCGTGGGAGTGAGAGGACCGATGCGCGCTGCGTTCTGGAATGGAAATATCTGTTTTAATGAATAAAGGTCGAATTATAAAAAGGATGAGATTTTCGCAACCGTTCTGGAATATGAATATGAGCATTCAAAGCCCCGTTTTGCCACAAAATAAGACGTTCGACGCGAACATATCGCATAAACCACCGGATAAAAACCGTCTCCGGCCTGCAGTTTTCTTCTGGGGGAAAGCACGACTGGCTCGTAAAAAACACACAGACAAAGAACAAAAGGGCCTGGCGATGGATCCGAAATCGGACTCAACTTGGAAAGTGTCTGGCTGTTAATAAAAGTTCGCAAGTGTCGTGTGCCGCTCACAAACGATTATGCAAAGTTCCAAAACACTTTGCCGGCGTATCGAAGCGAAATGGGGAAGTTTGAAAAATCCGCCCGGATTACGCTAGTTTTATTGCCCGGAAGTATCAAAGCAAACTTCAAAGTGATTGTTGAGGGACAAATGCGAAGCGAAATCCTCGATTATCAAAACACCCGGGCGGAAAGAGGTGTGGGAGCTGCAGAGAGCGATTATCTAGGGCGCTATCAGCATTCCAGAAAATTGTTCGGTTAAAGCGGCTTTATCGGCCTTAAATCCCGTGGAAAAAACTGAAAAGTAGGTTAAACATGGATCAGCAAGAATCGTCGTTATTCATGCTCCCAATGAGTTTGAGCAACAGCAAAAATACCCACTCTGCCACTTTAAAGAACTTATTTTCCTGACTGCCTGTAATTGTTATTCTATTCTTATCCCATATTTGAATATCGTTTATTTCATTACGTTTCAGCGAGACAACAACGCCATCATCAGATTTAAAATTTACACAAACTCATGATTGGTAAAAATCAACGTTCTTTTAGGTCTTTGCCTTCTTGAAACCGTAAATTTGTCT